TCCGCGCATTCTTCCCCTACTTACCCTCAGAATAGTAGTGACTGTTTTAATGCGCATGATTGAACGCCTATTCAAACACTTGGTGTCCAGCATAAGAAGAAGTCAGCGTTTTCAATCTTCCAAACGAGTCTATTACCATACAATCGATGCGGAGGAGGTGAAAAGTTGGTCCGTATGAGTATCGGTACAGGATTCCATACCTAGAAAACGGGTGTGATGACAACAATTCGGCTAACCTCCCCACTACTCCCATTCCCTTCCCTGTCCTGTCTCTCGATCTCGACAACATTCACATATCTACACATAGAAACCATTTGTGTAAATAGGCTACCCAAGGTTGATGCGTTGAATCGCAAGCGAGCAAAAAGTAGCTCAAATATGGAGAGAAGGCTCGCGCGGCTGCGGCAAGGAATCCCTATACTGCACCTACTGCAAGTGAGAAAATGATAACTGGCGTGCAGTTCGCACCCATTATGCGTCCCTTAGAGACAGAGTAACTGATCATTCTGTTCAGGCGCGGAACGAGTCGCGAAATACGAACGATGGGCATCACACAACCCGAACAGCATCACGGAAGCAATTATTAGCTGTGTTGTGTTTGAAGACGTTTAAAGGAAAGGGTTAAAAGCTCAGCAGAAGTCTCACAGCTCATGCATTCATCACTTCAATCTAATAGGATTCCTGTTATGAATGTGATATCTCGTTGGAATAATAATGGAACTAATAAGTAACAAATGAAATTAACAAAAACAATAGGGAAGGCAGTTAAAAGAACAAGTAAAAAGGAAGTTACAAAAGAATATGACAGCTATATTTATAGCTGTCCTTAGGAGCGTGCTCTATCTCCCAGCTATCCTCGCCACGGCCTCGCATATCCTGCGGAGAGCGCGCAACCCCAGGTTATCGCGTCGTGACCGGCTTCTCACCCTAGGTTACGGTGCCGGACCGGCTATCCATGCAATACAGGGTGTCCCAAAATTATTTGCGCCAAAGTTCAGGAATTTCTAAGGTAGAAA